AGAGCCTGCAGCAGCTGAGACAGGCTGAACACATTTGTGAGAGGGGATGGGGATGGAGAGGCCCAGATGGTCCCCAGCCACAACAGAGGACTCCTTGTATGCATTCCCACTGGGAACGGGCTCGTGGCTGGGTCTGTAGGGAGGCAAACCTTGTGAACATGGGCTCTCTGGGGAAGCTCAGACAGCACAATCCAGCTTCACCCTGATTTTCCAGCCACTGGGTATTTGCAGGGCTTGTGTTGGCTTTCCCTTTCCATTTGCTCTGCGTTTACAAGGTGTTGGATGCTCCCACCAACCTGGGGTGGCCCAGAGGGCCAAGCCCCCTCCCGGGCAAATCCTGCAGTGCTTCATCTTGTTTCCTCTGGGAAACAAAAAAAAAGGGGGAATTAGAGTCGTGGTTTCCACTAAGCCTTTGCTGGGTCAAGGCTTCCTCTCTGCCTTCTGCTGTGGTGGCAGAAGCAAACTCTCACTCAGAGGGAGGGGAAATGCTGGCTATAAAATCACCCCAGCCATTAAAGCTGCGGGTGATCAGCCTGCAGAAGGTGTTGTGAGGGTGTCAGCCGTGTTTAACAGCGTCTGCATGTGATTGATGGCTCTGCCCTGGGCCATCACCACTGAAATTACCCCTAGAAACAGGCAGGTCTGAGCAGAAGGGGCTCATGTGGGGAAGCACAGGCTCTGCTGCACTGACCCACTGTTAACCTGTGCTTGCTGCACCACCGAAGAGCTGCAGAGCCACGAGAAGGGGTTTCACAGAGCAGAAACCAAGTGTGTTGTGCATTAATCCATCGCTGGAGTCTGGAGACATCACCAAGGGCTGGTCCTGCCTACCAGCAGAACCCAAAAACTGACATAGAATTGTAGAAATTATCTTTAGATTGATTTTTTTTAAAATAATTTTTACAGTGCTCTTCTAGAGCAATAAACTTATTTCTGGCAGGGGAGAATGTTCTGCTTATTTCCCCCAAATTCATCCAGACTACTGCATCGAACTGGAGCAACCTGGCCTAGTGGAAGGTGTCCCTGCCCATGGCAGGGGGGTAGAATAAGATGACCTTTAAGGTCCTTTCCCTCCCAAACCCTCCTATGACTCCCTGATTCCTTCAAAGATGGCAGCTTGGAAGAATTCAGCAGCCAGGTTTCCCCACTGAGCAAAACACCCGAAGCAAATCCTGCTGATGGAAATATTCAGTGACCACAACCTGAGCTTGGCTTTCTCGTAGGCTCAGAGCAATTTCCCCAGAATATCAGGACAATATATGACCTTTCTTGAGGCAGCAGGAGCACCGTCATAAATCCAGGTATTAATTGACTTGCAGACATTTGCCAGCATTTCAAATTCGGTTTTCCTGGTGAGCTGTGGTCACATCGGTAACAGTGATGCAGGGAAATGAAAAGGAAATCAGAATACAGAACCAGGCAGATATTAGACCACAAATATTCATTAGTGAATCACAACGATGAAAAGGAAATGAGTCACAACCCTAATGCCCTGAGGAGCAGCCAGAACACAGCTTGATCAGAATCTCCAAGGACCAAATCTTTGACTGATAGATGAGTTTTTCCCCCCCAAAGTGTCCATATTAATAAATGGGTAAAATATGACCAGCTCTGAGCTCGTTGTTATAACTGGGTTGAGGAATGCCCAGGAGCCAGGCAGGTGGTCAAACAACAGCCTTTCCATCCCTGGGAGCTGGTCCCAAGCACCTCTGGAGTGTCCTGGGAAAGGGTTTTTCCAGCTGAAACAGTGGGAAATGTTTCTGAGAGGGAGTGCTCCTCGAAAGCCCATTCCACACGTGGGGAAACTGAGGCAGGCAGCGGGTGACTTTCCCAAAATTCCAAACTGAGTCCCGGACACGTAAAACTGCAGCTGAGCTGCAACTGTTCAGTTGAGTGCAGTTGAACTGACGGCTCCGGAGTGGCAGCTCCTGCTGGGAGGCACAGGATGGTGTCAGAGCCACTGCTGGAGAGACAGACTGACAAAGGGGGGGATGGATGACTCTTCCCAGGGTGTGTTTTATTCCCTGCTGCTGCCTGTTCCTGGACAACTCGCTGCTGCTGCATTTTAACTTAAAACCTGGGGGGTTTTTTTCAGTTAAATTGACTGGTTTTGCTTTGTTTTCAGCAGAGTAGATTAGATTTATTTTTAATTCACCTGTCTCTCTGCAGTCATTATCTGCTTTCCAGCTGAGTTGCTAATGAGTGTCAGGACCATCATTTTACTGATGGAGAAACTGAGGTTTGGGCAGTGGCTGTGACATTCCCCAAGGCATGGCGAGGGAATATTGCTGGGATCTGAAATCCCTGGAGCTGGTTCCTGTGCTGCAGCCCCAAGCCAGTCACAGGGAAATTGCACTCCATAGGTACAGTGTGACTGACTGCTCTTGCACACTTCCCTGGGAATGGCTTTTCTGAAGGCTAATTAGCGTGGAAAACCAATCCCAGAAGCGAGGGAGAGAGGTAATGATCCATGTGGCAAAGCAGCACAAGCAGGGGACCCCCAGGCCGAGCAGTCAGGCAGAAACTCAGCAGGCTTTGGACTGCTTGAGTGAGGGGCCAGGCTGAAAACATCCACCAGCATTTAGGGATGCAAAAACCAGGAGGTTTTCTCAGGGAAAACTGTGGTACAATATATTTCCACAGGTTGGAAACTGGAATCAGGGGTGCTTAAACAAGGGTGGCCAGTTTTGCATGGACTGGGTTGCAGCCCTGGAGCTCTTTAGCCCAAGGGAGCTGCCAGGAAAGATGGAGAGGGACTATTTACAGGGGCCTGGAGGCACAACACAAGGGGGAATGGCTTCTCACTGCCAGAGGGCAGGGTTAGACGGGATAATGGGAAAGAATTCTTGGCTGTGAGGGTGGGGAGGCCCTGGCACAGGTTGCCCAGAGAAGCTGTGGCTGCCCCTGAATCCCTGGAAGTGTCCAAGGCCAAGTTGGAGCAGCCTGGGCTAGTGGAAGGTGTCCCTGCCCATGGCAGGGGGTGGCACTGGATGGTTTTTAAGGTCCCTCCCAACCCAACCCATTCCATGATTCTGTATCTTACTTGTTCTCTGGTGATGCTCAGGGTGAAGTGGGTGGACATGGGACCATCCCAAAGACAGCTGAGGGGTTTTTTTACTCTTTCAAAAAAGAAAAAGAGCTTGGAAATTGCAGAGTGACACGTTGTATTTACAAGATGCTCCTTTAGGTTGCAAATGCTGGTATTTGAAAGCTATGAAAAGCCAAACTGAGATGTGAGAGCTGCTTATGCAACTGCAGTTCTGCCAGGGGTGTGTGTTTGCTCAGCCCATCATTTCAGTCACATCCTGCCTTCCCCACGATGCTTCTGCCTCAATTAATGCCCAGAGATGACTGGGGGCAAACCAAGCCTCAGGAGAAGCACACAGTCTGGATCATCCCACATCTCCAGGCTTGGCTGCAACCATAAAATGTTGATTGAGCACCATGTTCTCACTGCCAGAGCCAGAGAGGCAGCCAGTGTGGGCCAAGACAGGGGTGCCAGGAGCTGCAGTGGTACCTCACCACCATTCCCAGGCAGCAGAGCGTGGGCTGGGCTGGGGAGCTGCTGCTCTGCTCATCTCTGGCCAGTATTGACATATTTAAACTCAGTGTGGAGCAGAAAAACACAACCAGATGTTGGCTGCTATTGTGTGACAGGACACCTGATCCTGCAGGACCCACTGTTCCCTCTGCTCTGGGCACTGACATTTACCCCATGGCACCCCCCCATCTCCACCCTGGGGGTTCTTGGAACAGCCCACGCTCTCCCAGCATGCTTATTAATTTATTAACCAGCCCTCCACCCCTGCTCCAGCTGCCCTGGGGTGATGCTGCTTCTTGGAAACTGGATCCACACCTGGAGACATGGCAAACCCAGGGCCTGGGGAAGCCAAACCACCACCCAACCAGGGGCAGGTGCTGGACCCCAGACAAAAGATCAAAACAGTGTGGTTTGGGGCAGTAAAAGGGGAGTAAAGGGCCTTTAGGACCTCTCTGGAGCTGCCCACATGAGGTTCTGCTCAAGAGCAAGGATGGGTGTGCTGTGACCTGCCCTCTTCAAGGCCAGCCTGGATGGGGCTTGGAGAAACCTGGTCTAATGGAAGGTGTGCCTGCCCATGGCAGGGGGGTTGGAACTAAGTAGTCTTTAAGCTTGCAACCCAACCCATTCCATGATTCTATGATTCTCTTCCCCATCTTCTCTTCCCCTTCTCTTCTGTCTCCTTTCCACACCAGCCCTCTGCTTAATCTGCTGCAGGAGAAGGAAGATGCTCACACATATTTTACATTTTGGTAGAAATTGAAAAAAATGGGATGAATCTGACAACATCCATCCAGCTCCATCCCCACTAACAATAAAGGGGAAAACACCACAGAATCACAGAATTGGTTAGGTTGGAAAAGCCCTCTGAGATCATCGAGTCCAACCATTCCAAGGCCACCACTGACCCATGTCCCCAAGTGCCACATCCACAGGGCTGTTAAACCCCTCCAGGGATCAGACTCCACCACTGCCCTGGCCAGCTGTGCCAGGGCTGGACAGCCCTTTTGGCTAAGAAATTTTCCCTCATATCCAATCTAAACCTCCCCTGACCTAAGTTGTCATTTGCTTTAAGTGAGGAATCTCCCAGACTGGCCAGTGAAGCCTGTGAACTGCGGGCCAAGGCTGCAGAGCCAGGCAGGAAAATCAGGTGGACAAAGCAAATGTCACCACGTAAAAGCACTGATGTGACTTGGGACGGGTCTTCCAACGGCCAGGAAACTTTTATTTGCAATAAACAGCGGGATATGGCGAAATCCTGGAGCCCTGATTTCACACTGAGGCAAACAACGTGCCCGGGCCGCACATCTGTGTATGGATGACCAGGGTGAGGTGGCACCATTGTGAACACTTGTGCATTTATGCACAGAGAAGGTGCAGAGCTGTTGTTGTGATCGTGGACACGCAGATCCATTTTAAACAGACCCCCTGCTATATAAAGGGGGGCTCAGCAGTTCCCCTTGCCTCATGAAAGGGAGAAATATTCACTGTCAAGCAACACCTGAGCAACTCACCGGGCAGAAATGGCTCCAGGTACTTTTTATTTTGGTTTTCAGGGATTTGCCAGTGCTGCCATGTGTGGAGAGTGATGGGAGATGATGATGGGGTGGTACTGTGGTGGGACAAACTCTGGGACAGCCCTAACTTAAAGTATGGCAACTTATAAACCAGTGACAAAGAATACCTTTCCCTGCAGTGTGACTTTAATCCATGAACTAATCTTTAGCCTAAACAGGGCAAGGAGAACAAGGTCAAGCCACAGTTACAGTTGTTGTTATTAATGTAAATGCTGGCAGGGATATTAAAATTCATATTCCAAGCTTAAGACAAGGATCAGCATGATACCTGGATTTTGGGGAGGGCTGAGCTCACCCTTGATGCCAGAAGGCACCAAGGCAGAGGACCCCTCAGCCATGGAGAGAAGAGAGTGGGAATGAATTCCCAGGTGCCACCCCCTCCTCAGCACAGTGCCCCAAGGCCTGCTGACACTTTCTGCTTTGCTGCAGGGTCCTGGTTCTCTCCTCTGGCCATCGCTGTGATCACGGTGGGGCTGCAGTGGGCACAGCCAGCTGCCACCTTCCCAGCCATGCCCCTGGCCAGCCTGTTTGCCAACGCTGTGCTGAGGGCTCAACACCTTCACCTCCTGGCTGCCGAGACCTACAAGGAGTTCGTGAGTGCTGGGGCCTCCTCTGCCTGAGCTTGATGGCTTGGGGATGTGTGACAGGGACCTCTCGGCCACTGCTGTGCCCTCTCTCTGCTTCCCAGGAGGCTGAGGGCTGTGACAGGATAGGACTGCACCCTGTCTCCCCCTCTCAGCTCTCTGCCCCTGCTCTGATCCTGCATGCCCCCTTTCCCGGACCATGGCTGCACATGGCACAGATATTTTGCCGGACTTTCCTGTGGCAGTCACCTTTTGCCCTGGAGAGTCTGAGTGCTTAAACCCCTCCCATTTCTGCTCCTGCCAGGATGTGCCACGAGCTTTTCCTTTGGCAAGAGCTGTACTTTGGGGTCATTTCCTCCTTGGGAGAACCTGGTCCCAGTGGTTTGTGTTCACCTCAGCACCTTGGCTTAGTGAGAGGAAGACCCTTAGGTCCAGTAGCTATTGTGCCAAGACAATATTCCTGCTTCCCAATCCTGTCCAGAGGCACCTCATGTCTCACATCCACTTCTTGCCAAGAGTAACCATTCAGGACAGCTTGGGAAGGTCTTCCAGAGGACATGGGCAACATGTCTGGGTGTACCTGGGCTATCTCCACAGGAACGCACCTACATTCCAGAGGACCAAAGGCACACAACCAAGAATTCCCAGGTGGCGTTCTGTTACTCGGAAATGATCCCTGCTCCCATGAAAAAGGATGATGCCCAGCAGAAATCCGTAAGTCCTCCCCCTCAGGGCAAGCACAGACCTGTCTGAGGAGCCCAGCTGTGCTTCAGGGCAGGAGCAGAGGGTTTCCACCCGTGCACACTCGGGTGCTTCATCCCTGCCCTCCCAAGAAAGATATAACCTTGGTTACACTATGAATCACATTCCCTTCCCAAGGATGAGAGAAGCTCTTGTCTGCACAGGACACAGGTCTGGGTGGTGCTCCCCAGCCCGAAAACTTGGTGTCTGCTGAAGCTGCAGGAGCTGTGGCACATCCCTGGGTCACCTCCAGGCTGCTCCAGAGGCAGCAGGACACCCCACCAAACACCTCCCCCCACAGCTTTGAGCCCTTCCTGTCTTATTTTCAGGACATGGAGCTTCTCCGTTTCTCCCTGGCTCTCATCCAGTCCTGGCTGACCCCGGTGCAGTACCTGAGCAAGGTGTTCACAAACAACCTGGTTTTTGGCACCTCAGACAGAGTGTATGAAAAGCTAAAGGACCTGGAGGAAGGGATCCAAGCCCTGATGAGGGTAAGTCACAGCACATAGTGTGATTATAGGATAAGAGATCTCCCAGTCACGGGGCACTCAGCTCTTGGGGATCCAAGGACCACGAGAAATCTCCCCACCTTCCCCTCTGAAGGCCAGTGGTGTCCTGTGGACTTTGCTCACCTTTAGACAGTGAGATCATGACACCCCCCTGCACAGGATAAAAGAACACAGAACAAATGTTAACACCCATCACAGAGCAGAACTGATCAGGGATCACAACAGTCGACACCCAGAGTCCACCCAAACCCAGCAACAAAAAATATTCAGTTGTTTAAATCCACTGGAGTAACAGCAACATAATGTTTGCTACATCTCCATGCAAAATACTCAGAAATGGGGCAAATTTCCTCCCTCCCTGCAGCCTGTGCCCAGCTCTGTTCTCACTGTAGCATCCCCTCTGTGTCACTGCCCTTCCTGCAAACACAAACACTCAAAAATATGTTTGAAATATGCTTTGAGGGTGGGGGGAGAACCTCCTGAGCTCATCTAAAGCTCAGGAGGAGCCTTGGCACTGGGCCAAGGAGGAGGATCAGAGAATCCCAGAATCACTGAGGTTGGAAAAGGTCGCTGAGTCCCCCCTGTGCCTGATGCCGACCTTGTCCCCCAGCCCAGAGCACTGAGTGCCACAGCCAGGACTTCCTGGGACACCTCCAGGGGTAGGGACTCCACCATCTGCCTGGGCAGCCCCTGCCAGTGTTTTTCTGTGAAGAAATTCCTCCTGCTGTCCAACCTGAAAAACCTCTGGCACAGCTTGAAGCTGTGTCCTGTTGTCCTGTCCCTTGTTCCCTGGGAGCAGAGCTCGATCCCCCCGGCTCCCCCCTCCTGTCAGGGAGTTGCAGAGCCAGAAGGTCCCCCCTGAGCCTCCTTTTCTCCAGGCTGAGTCCCCCCAGCTCCCTCAGCTGCTCCCGGTGCTCCAGCCCC